GCGACAAGGTGTTCTTTCTTGGCGAAAGCCTCTCGAATGAACGTCTCTAATCTGATGAGATGGTCATTTGTCCCTCTTCTATTTCTAAAGCCACTTTGAAGAGGGGATATTATATCGTTGGCCTCAAGAAACCAAACCAGTCTAGTGTTTATCATTCGTTCTAAAGTTTTACATACACAACTAGTCAGAGAGATAGGACGATAGTTGTTTGGGTCAGTAGCATCCTTTCCCGGTTTTGGGATAGGTATAATTGTGGAGTTCTTCCACGAATCGGGAATCTTTCCGGAAGCGTAAACTTGGTTGAATATGTAAAGAAGGCATGTTAGTGACGACTCCGGAAAGTGCTTTAGAAATTGATAAGGGATGTCATCAGGACCTGAAGCAGTGTCCTGTGGTTTTCTAAGCGAATCAACAAGTTCTGGTAGGGTAAATAGCTCATTACAACTTTCTTTGTTTGATGATTTGAAATTGAGCCGTTTCTTTTCTCTTTTTTTCTTTAAAGACTGGAATTTTCGGGAGTGGTTTAAAGGGGATGAGTTTTTAGCTATGTTTTTTGCAAATGCATCAGCAATTTCAGACATAGACGAAACAAATGTTTTTATTAATGAGGGGGGAGGATGTTGCCTTTTTCTTTTTCCCACTTGTTTTCCGAATCATATCCCATACTTTTTTGAGAACAAAACACAAAGCGTAACCACACATATCAAACAACATGTCACATAACCCACAGATACAAACCGTCGTTAACAAATTAGTTTGAAATTCTTAACTAATGAATATTTCAACAACCTGATTAATCTCACAAGTATAAGCACACATTGCGATTTTAATTATTATGTGTTCTGCACCGGTGGAATGTAGAAAACATATATATCAATATGACGTAACTCGCTTGTATTGGCCCTAATCGTTTTGCCTTCAATGATGTACATAGTTACATATGGATGGGATTTATGGGAATTATGTGTACTCTGATCCATTCAAAATGATTGTTTGTGTGGTAGCTGGTTGTAGTGTCTTTGTGAGACATGTAAAATATTTACGTCATTCACAACATCTGTGTAGTATCTTTGTGAGACTTAAAGTATGTGCCTCTGTCTGAACCTTGTGTACCCCAGTGAGACTTTAACAACTGTAATGGAGTGTAGATAAACTTGAAATGTCGTAAAGTACCTTAGGCACACCTGGACATTGCTACATTGTATATACCTGTAGTAAGTCAGTGGGACGTGACATTTTAATAACATTATTATACCTTATTTACACTTGGATAGCGTTAAACATGCAATGCCTAAGTGTGGTTTTTATATCTACATATTCCTTAAATGAGTCCGTAGGACCTTATTCAGAGTAACCATTGTGGTACCTTCCCGATAATGGAATTGGTTTGTACACGTGACATCATAAAGACACTCGAATAGCCTATCACGTCATGCAAGATAATCATAACTTGCAGTGAGCATCTAAGACTTACATTAGATATGTGTCATGATTGTAAAGTACCTCAGTGAGAGTTATCTCCAGTTAGACAGTCATTAGAGCAATCATAATGACGTTATAGCGACCACATTCGCGCTAGCTGAGATAAGTGTAGTAATAGACATCATGTCCCAAATCTTAGAATACATTATCTTGATGTACTATCATATATATCTTTTAGCATCTGTCAAGTAACTGATATAATCGTGTGCTAAATATGTCACCTTGAAAAGATGGCATTTAATATAAATGAACATATGCGGTTTTTAAATCCATTTTGTGTTTTTCAAATACCGTGACAAGCGGTCAATCCATTAACTACAATCATCCGTGTCGTGGTATAACCGTGGAAAACCAACAGCACCACATTTTGTGATCCTGATCTTCCTTCTGTTCAGCAGTGTTATGAGTATACCGACTTGTTCCCTCACACAGGTTATGGTAAAACACGGGAGAGGTTAATCCGTATTGATTTGTAGCTTATATGAAAAGCAAACAAATCTCGGTGGTTTTCTTCCACAATTACACGTTGCCATCCACCATCGGGACACATTTCCTGGCTTATAAACCCCTATATCCGGATCACATAGACTGTCTGACTGCAGCTGTGTACTATGCTGAAGATTAGCTGTATCGGTTGTGATTTACAATTGGGTCTGCAATCTTATTCATATTCCGTATGTCATGTCACGACAATGTCTATTTGAAATAAATCCAAGTGAAGTCCAAAAATTATATACCACAAACGTCAACAAACCTGGAAGTAGCTCGAAGTTAATAGTTAATAAGACACTGGGAGAAACCGAGTGGACAGCAAACTGTTAGACTGGCTACCAGCCCGTAATGTTGTTTATAAAGAATGTTCAAGTCGTATTTTGCTTCTAGTTTATCTCCCGATCTCTGAATGAATCAATATTCTAGAGATGTGGTCAGTCTATCAAAAGGTAGGACGTTTACAGTGAACCTGCAACAACGATATACAAGGAAGTATGTTGATTAACAAAAATAAAAAAAGTCTTTAATCCAACCAGAAATAGGTATTCCATTAATGTAGTTGAAAGCAAGGTCATGATAACACGATTTCTTTGTTGTTAACTGGAGCTTTTTCTTTAGATTTTCTGGACTAACTATTTTCCTGGTCAACTGATCATACATATTCATAAAAAAACATTGTCGCTATAGAACGGCTGTCTGGAGTAGCGAATCTTCTGTGACATGTAAACATGTGGTTAGTATGTTACTACTTAGGACATGTTAATTGATCTGCCAACGGTTGCATTATAATACTATATCACGGAAAAATCAACCACACTACACATACTGAATATTGCATCTTGCAGATTCATTTTTATGGGAGCGACTGAGCTAAGAAAGACACCAATCAAAAGGAACATTAGCCAAATATTTCAAACGTTATAAGTGATGACGCTGATACAGATTGTCATTTACGATTTCCTCTTAGGAGCTGGGGTAACAGAGATAACTCCTTTATTTATCTAATAGTCATATTATTTGCCTCATTAATCAGGCAGTGCAAGTCAACAGATTATTTTCCCTGTGCCCCCCCACATTGCTGGCTGATCTTACTATGTTGTAAAATGTAT